AAGATAAAAATTAAATTCAAAAGTAAGATGAAAATTAAATTAAAAATTAAATTAAATTTTTTTTTTGCCTATTACGCAAATAATGAATTATTGTTATTTCAGTTTTGTTTGATATACAGGAAATTTTTTGTTTTTTTTTGTTTCTTTGCTCTATTTGATTTGAACAAATAAAATTTTCTCTACGCGATGCGAAAGGAAATTTTTATATGAAGTGTTTGTTCGTACAAATATTTCTCCGATGGGATTTTTTGGAGCATTTATATCAGTTTACCTGTTCTTTTATTTTCTGTATATATATATATATATATATATATATATATGTATTTGAATTGTTATTTCTTAATATTTATTATTTCAATTAATATTATTGATTTATTTATAAAATTTTGACAAGGCAATGTTCATAAAAATATTTATTATTATCCTTTTTTAAATTTTTTTGTTAGGAATTCTTAATAACTGACAATAAAAAAATACAAATAAAAAGAAGTTATGTGTATTTTTTTGCAAAAAAAAAAAAAATTTTGCTGAAGGCAATAAAAATTGTGCTTCACGTATCAATGTCTATAGTTTGTGATCAGATTGTAGGTCAGACTAGGATGCCTTTTTTTTAAATAAAAGTGTATGTCCGAAGACTATAGTTATATGTGTTTTGTTTGAAGTAAATAAACAAGATCGTCAAATGCTACATTATTAAAGTGAGCTTATCGATTTTATATATATATATATATAGTATATATATTTTTTCCAAAGAAACAAATTTCAAAGCAACTCCCAATAGTCTTTTTTTATATATATAAGTTTATCGGAACTTCTTGACAAACAAATTTTATGTTTTTTGCCCCACTATTTTGGAAAAAAAAGATTTATAAACTTTTATTTCAGTTAAAGCACAATTTTATAATTTTTAAATCACATTTTTTCCATTCATTTACTTATTTTTTACTGTTTTTCTATTTTTCATTGTGTTTTTTTTATTTTTATTTCTTTTTTGGTTTTTATTTATTTTTTATTGTTTTATTATTTTTTGTTTTCTTTATTTTTATTGTTTTTTTGGTTTTTATTTATTTTTTATTGTTTTATTATTTTATATTATTTTTTTCGTTTATATATTTATTAATAAATTAACATTTATATTAAATGTCAAAATTTATTTATTTATTTATTTATTTACATGTAAACGGGCTTACAAAGAAAGAAAAATTAGCCCTTTCGTACCGAAGTACTAAGAATAATGAAACATAAAATATAATGTTTCTTAAAAACCGAATAACAAAAATAACTATAACTAGGTAGCGTTGTTATTACTATCAAAAAGAAAAAGTTTGCGCAAAGACATTGTGAAATTACTTAGCGAAGAGTTAAAAAAATCCAAATTGTTACAATATAAGTTTGCCTCTTCGGACAATCTATCATAAATAGAATTTTTGGCAAAGTTTGATCTATGAAAATTTGTTTTAAACAAAGGGCGATCTCTAAGGTGTTTAAATGGAGCATAAAAATTAATTTTTGACAGAATCTCAGGACAATCGATATAATTATTAAGAATTTTGTATAAAAATAGTAAATCAGTATATATAAAATATGATGAAATTTCAGGGATATTGAATAAGCGTCTGAGATCCGAGTAATCATGATTAAATCTATCGTGAATTACATATCTTTGCCAAGCAGTAAAGCGTAAAAATTTATTTTGAATTTGTTCGAGTCTTAATAATCTATCTTGTTGATAAGGAAACCAAATAACATGATTGCAAACTAAGATCGATCTAGCAAACGAATAATATAATGACTTTAAGGTGGATAAACCCGAAAAACGATTTGCATTTCGCATAATAAAACCAAGAGCTCCATTGGCCTTACTCGCAACATTAGTTACATGTTTATCAAAACTAAGGTCAAAATCAAGTGTTATTCTAAGGTCAGAAACACTAAATACTCTCGGTAGTTCGTCATTGCAAATTTTATACTTAAATAAAGAAATATCACTCTTCCTAGAGAAGGAAATAATGTGGCACTTCTTTATATTTAAAAATAACTTGTTATTAGCGCACCATTCATGCAAACGAAAAAGATCCTTTTGGATTTTTAGGTGATCATCATTATCATTATTGTTATTAACTTCATTTTTATTAATTCTTTTATAAATTTTAAGATCGTCAGCAAATAAGGAAAAGTTGCAATGCCGAAAAACCAGAGAGATATTATTTATATATAACAGAAAAAGGAGAGGGCCAAGATGTGAACCTTGTGGTACACCCGAAGTAGCCAAAAAAGTATTGGAGTAAACATTGTTTACTCTAACTGACAACCACCTGTCAGACAAATAACTTTTAAACCATATAACTAAGTGTTCAGAAAAACCCAGAGCCCTTAGCTTAGACAAAAGAATATCATGGTTAATTTTATCAAAAGCCTTTGAGAAATCAGTATATATAGTATCCACCTGAAAGCCATTTTCCAAATTATTACGTACATATTCAGTAAAAACGCATAAGTTTGTCAAGACAGATCTGCGCTTCATGAAGCCATGCTGCTGAGGTATAATTAACTTAGAGGCATAAGCATAGATAACATCATACACAAGACTTTCAAAAAGTTTAGATATTGCACTTAAGATTGTAATCGGCCTATAGTTGGACACATTAGTTTTACTGTCACTTTTGTGAATAGGTACTACAATACCGCGTTTCCAATTATAAGGAAATATGCCATCTGATAACGATTTATTAAATAATAAGAATAAAGGATTAACAAAAGATGAGCAACATGACTTCAAGATAGTTGCAGGAATGTCATCTGGTCCAGCTCCTTTAGAAGTATCTAGACCTTTCAATTTACGTAAAATATCTATTTTATTTAAAAAAATATCATTTAGAAAAAAATTGTCCAATGAAGGAGTGCTCGAAATATTTGAATTCAGCGCTAAATTGGTATAAACTGATTTAAAATGAATCGCAAAAAGGTCAGCAATGTCTTTGTAATTATTACCATAATTAGTACCGAGATGCATCTCTTTTGGAAATTTATTATCTTTTTTCAGAGAATTAACGTAGCCCCAAAATTGTTTTGGATTAGCTTTCAAGTTTGATTCAACATGTTTAATATAACTATTATAACAATTTTTAGAAAGCTTCTTACACTGCGAACGTAAATAAGAAAAATAATTATAGTCCCTGATATTATGTGATTTTTTATATTGTAAATGAGCTGCTTTCTTTAAAAACGTAATTCTTTTCAATTCGAAATTAAACCATGTTGGGTAGGTTGATTGTCTAATTACTCTAATAGGTACAAAAAAATCAAAACTAGTATAAACATGAGTATAAAAAATATCAACCGCTTCATCAACATTACAATTTTTAAAACAAATCTCCCATTTCACAGCATCTAAAAATCCACAAATTCCCGCAATATTTGCATTCCTAAAATCGTACACGTATTGCACATCAGAAATAGAATTAGAATTACATAGAGAAATGTGCGTATCAATTTCCAATAACAAAGGAGGGTGATATTTATCAATCGGGAGAAACGCTTCATCAGCCAAGTTCAACGTAAAATTAAATGTATTAATGAAAACAAGATCCAAAAGAGAACCAGTAACATTTAAAAAATTATTAACTTGATGTAGATTAAGAAAGTTCATAGTGTCAGATACTATGTTCGTTATTGAATTGTGTAAACGTAGATGGATATTTAAAATTTTTTTTCGTGAAAAAATTAAAAAAATAAAATTTTAAAATAACATTCAAAATATTTCAAATAAAAACTTTTGTAACGTTCAAAACTTTAGTAAATATATATTATATGCATTTAAGTAATTTTTTTTTTATTTTAGTCAGGCACGTACGAGACGAAGTAGTTAAAGCAAATTTTAGTCAGACACAAACTAATTGTAAACGCGTTTGACTAAATATTGACTTCTATTACTTTTGATTTTATTTTTAGAAAAAAAACAAAAGAAAAATAATTATATTTATAATTATTGCACGATTGGTAATGAATTATAAAAATATTTAATTATTAATTAACAATATTACAATAAATATTAAAATACTTCCTAATTTTGAATCAGTAAAAGTTTTAACTAATTTGAATTAGTAAAATACCAATTCGATAGTAAAAAAAAGAAATTGTTTACCATTCATTAGTTAAATTTTACTAATTTAAAAGTAAAAAAGTAAATCACTAATATTCATGTTTCTAAATTTAGTGAGTAGAAAAAATTAAAAATTTTGAAAAATTTGTTTTATATATATTTTTTTATTACTTTTACGATAATTATCGTGATGACAGTTATACATTTTATATTTATCTTATAATTAGAGGAAGATTTAGTTTACATTTATAAAAGGGACTTAAAAGTATAAATTATCTTTCATCAACTCTTAAGTAGTTTCAACGGATTTAGTCAAAACCAAGAGTCTAGAAATGTCTTGATAAGCCAAACTTTAGATTTCATTCTCGCAGCCTAGTTTCTAACTTAAAAGTTATAATATTCAACAATAATATTTTATTTATAATAAATTTTACTGACTTATTATTAATAATTTATTTTTTTATTTTTATTATTTTATTTTTATTTATTTACGAAGCTGAAGTACGCAACGTTTATGATAAACGATTTTTAAAGAAATAATTTTTTAAAATGAAAAATTCTATAATTTTTTGCCTAAAAAATATTTTTTTATAATTTGTTGATTAATGAAAACTACAAGAAATATTTTTTAGGTGAAAAATTATAGAATTTTTCATTTTAAAAAATTATTTCTTTAAAAATCGTTTATCATAAACGTTGAGTACTTCAGCTTCGTATTTATTTATTACTTATTATATATATAATATAATTAGTTATTATTAAATTCTTTTTATTTAAAAAAAAAGTTGTTTCAATAATAATTAAACATTGCATAAAATTATATATACCAAAAAGTTATATAAAATTATTGACCGAACATTATATCGTTGTTTTTTTTTTTTTGGTTTAAATTTTGCAGATATATGGCGATTATGCGACCTCTTAAACATCACATGTCTCGCAAGAGGACAATATTGGCTTTGTTCTCAATCTGGTTCGCCTCAGCCATGTTAGCGATACCTTGCCTTCTATATTCGACTACAAATTCTCGAAGGTAAAATAATATATAACCACACATGTGCGATACTTTCATTTGCATGTTAATTTAAAAATAGATTACTTTCCGAAAATCTTTTATCTTTCAAATATATAAATCTAATATGCAATATCGTACAGAGACTATAAATTTTATCCATTTTTTACGAAACGAAAAAATTAAACGATTGTGAAATTCTTTTTCTCAATAACATTTTTTCCAGAAATTATTATTATTATTATTATTATTATTATTATTAATATTATTATTATTAATAATAATATTTAATATAATATAATAATAATGTATATTAAAAATAAACAATTAAATTTTTAATTAAAATTAAACAGTTTAAAAATAAAATAATATAAAAGAAAATAGGATTAAAATTAATTTTTCCATTTTAAATAAAAAAAATTAATGTTAAATTAGTTGAATAAAATTTTTTAATTAGAGAATTAAATGCAATTAATTAGAATTGGAATTATAGAAACAAGAATTGAATTTTTCCAGTGGAACAATTTTAACTTATGTGCTTCTGATTTTTAGAACTTTAAAAAGTTCATAACTTTTATACTTATTCGAGTAGATTGCGGTGCAATATTCATTAAAATAAGTCGTTAATGTTTTACCAAGGTTTTAAAGGATTTACTCTCTTAAATGGAAGGGAAAATCCTGAGAAGAAACTTGGTAGCAACACTTATTATATACTTTGAAAAACTGAAGTCGTATAAGTGAAAATAAATTATTTTTACTATATAAAAAATTACAACAAATTTTTTTTTTCCAATTTTCTTTAAAATAATAAAAAAATAAATAAAATAAATTTTTCAATATATAATATAAACTTAAAGAAAAAAATAATAAATTCCAAATAATTCCTTCTGTCTGAAATATATTTTTATTTTGTTCAATGGAGTGAAAATTTTAAGTATATACGTTCAATGAAATATTTATTTAATGTAAGTAAAGTGGCTATATAAAAAAAAGGTGGTAACGATTGATTAACATTTTTTTTTATAGTTATTAAAAAAAAAAGAATTTGATTTTTGGAGTTTTGAAAAAATTGAAAATTCTTTTCAACGATTTTTATTCTTTTCTTTTTATTTTGTAAAGCTGCTTATGCAGAAGAGAATAAATATCTTCTAAGAAGCTCATGATGCAACACATTTTTTTTCTTTTTCTTTTTTTTTGAAGAAAGTTGAATTCTTGAAAAGCTATGAAAGAGATGAAAAGATTTGATAGATGCACGTTTATTGAAAAGCTTCTTATATGGATACCAAAGATTCAAACTATATATGGATTTTAAATAAAGTCCTTGAAATTTTAATTATTTATTTGTCTGATTTTTAATTTTTATTTTCTTTTTTAAACATTGGTTTTTTTAAAAATAATTTTCTTACAAAAGAAAAAAAACGAGGCCTTTTCCTATCAAAGTACAAAATTTTATTTCCTTTTTTTATTTTTATTTTGTATTTCCTGTTTTTCATTTTTTTTTTCTTTTTTTTATTTTCTTTTATTTTTCTATTATTTTCTATTTTTGTTTTCAATTTTTATTATTTTTTTAATTTTCTATTTTTATTTTCTATTTTCCAATTTCTTGTATTATTTGGTTTTTTTTTTTTTTTTTATAAATCACAAATATGCGAATGATAATTTGATAATTTATTTATCTCATGTACAAGTTTTGTATATATACCTAAATCCCAGCACTCGACAGTAGTAAGTTTAGTGTTGTTTTCAGTTTGTTGGCTTTGCGCCAATAAAACGTTCACTTAGGACTTTATGAGTATTCTCGCTAGACTTGTGTTTAGTTTTCTATAGTTTCTTGCGAGCGAGTCTAATTTATGACAGTCTGCAAAGTAGTGGGGAAAATACAATTTTCTTCATTGAATATTTCACAAAAGTTATACAATTAACAAATATATTTATGTGTAAGCGCAATCTATATTTATAATATCAAGTTTTAATCCAATTCAATTGTTAATAAACTTTTAATAATCCCGAAGCAACTTTTCAACATATAAAAAAACGAAAATCAATTTTTTTAATGTTCAATATATTCTCATTCCTCTTCATTAAACAATAAACTTCTTTGTATCCAGAATTTTTTTTTTTTTGACAATCTCGAAGAATTCTTGAAACTATTTTTCACAATTATTAATTTTTTTAATTAATTAATTTATTTATTTATATTTTATTTTATTTTTATTTATTTATATTTTATTTTATTTTTATTTATTTATTTATATTTTTCAAAATATATTCAGAATTAAAAATACAATTTGGTTGTTTGATTTGAAAATAAAAAATAATCAAATTAATTTTAGTTTAAAAATTAGAATAAAATAAAAATTGAAATAAAAAAAATATTTTATAATTTTTTTGATTATAAAAGAAAAAAAGTTTAATTTTGATGGAAAAAAGAGGTAAAAATAAAAATAAAATGAAAAATTATAAAATCGTACATTATTTTTTATCTTCTCGCAGCAAAAGTTTTTTTCCCCTTTTTTTTTATATATGTGTTGACGTTAAATAAGAAGTGTCGTTTAAGTTAAAGTAACATTACATCTAAAAAGTTTTTCGAGAAGTTGAGAAAAACATGACACGTCAATTTTTATTCCAACTTATTTTTCTTGTGTGTGGTCTGCAAAACTTTTTATGTGTACTATTCACTTCTTTTATTCAAAGATTCTTAACTAATTTTACTAGTTGTATATTTTTTTGTAACACAATTGGTAAATATTCGAAAAACAACTATATATATTTATTTATAAACAACTATATTTTTTAAATATCTATTATTAAATATTTTTTTATTATTTATTCTATTTATTTTTTTTATTTGTTTTATTTATTATTTATCTATAATTTATATAAAATTTTCTTTTCTATTTTCCTTCAAAAATAAAACTACTAAATTACATTATGTGAAAATAAAAATTTCACGAGTATAAAAAAAAAGAAGTATAAATACTTATTTTTAGTAATTTTTTTTGTGTATGTTTCTTTTACTTTTTTTATGTATGTATGTCACATTTTACGGTTTGTGAAACAAGGAAATTTCATGCTGTAGATTTTGCAATAGAATTAGTTGGAATTAGTACCGTGAATGCTTAACAAGCTTAATGTTCTCAGTACACACATTGATAGGATTTAATCCTATCAGTTTCGGATATATATTTTTTAAAGTAAAAGTTTTATGTACATATTACATAATACAACCCAACTAATATTATATCTATATTATAAAATAATATATTTTATAATATAATAAAAATATAAAAAAAAATTTATTTTATTCAATTAATCAGTTACTTGATTACCTTTCAATTATTTATTTTTTTCAAATAAAAATTATTTGGTAAAATCAATTTTTTGGAATAATTATTTTCCTTTTTTTTTGAAACTATTTTTTTTATAATTTATTAGGCTATTATAATAATATTTATTATTATAAAAATTTTATATAAAATTGTAAAATTAAAACTAGAATTAAAACAATATAGTAAATAAAAATTTATTTAAATTAATTTCATTTAAATTTTTTATCAATTTTACATTTTTATTAATAATAATAAAACTGTTAATAAATAAATTTATTATTTTTCAGATACAATAATGGAAATACAAGAATTGTTTGTTATATGCAATGGCCCGATGGAAGTTATCCAAACAGTAAAACCGAATACATGTAAGTTTTCAAATTTCCATATTTTATTTAAATATTAAAAAATAAATTTTTGATAAAAATTTGAAAATATAAAAAAAAATTGTTATTTAAAATTTAAGATATACTCGTTTGCTGTCGTGTCGAATTTTTTTTTTTTTTTTTTTTTTGCCGCAAGCTTATTAATATTTCACACCATGCGTCAGAGTAATAAGATCTAAGGGTGGGGGTAGGAAATATTAAGCGAAAAATAAATTGAATCTGTGTGGTCAAGTGAAAAGAGAGGAAGGAGATTAACACACGTACTCTATTATGAGAATGACGTGTTCTTGCAAGGTTTCCCCAAGGGGACAATTAAAATACTTTAATCTAATTATACATCAGAAGAAACGAGTCGCGAGTTTTTTTTTTTTTTTCAATTTCTCTCGAAATCTGCGAATAAATGGAAATTCACTTAAATTTTTAACTCAAAGTTCGTATTCAATAAAATGAATGTTTTCTACATTCTTTAATTAAATTCTCTAATTATATTAAAAATTTTAAATTTTAAATTTTTTTCTTTTACCTATTATTAAAATAGATGATACAAATTTTTTTATTAATTAAAAAGGTTCTAATTGATGAGAATATAATTTTTTTTTTAATTTTAATTTTATTTGCAGAAAAAAATTAGTGTGAAAAATAATTATTAAAATTTTTTAAAAAATTTGTTTTAATTATTAAAAATTTTTTTTTAAATCAATTTTCTTTGGAAATAATCAAATTATTATCGAAAGTAGAATAAAAAAAAAAAAAAAGAACATTAGTTTTCGCACGGAAAGTAGAAAATTTATTCCTAGACAAGTATAATTATTATAAAAATGAAAAGAAATTCGATTTGAAAAGAAAAGGTTTCTCTGTTTGCGTTATACAATATGAGAAAAATATTTATTAAACTTGTTTTCAAAGACATTATACACGTAATAATATATACAGAGAGAGAGAAAAAATAACGAGTTGGTGATTATTAAAAAAAAAAAAAAAGAAGAGAGCTTTTAATAAAATTGAAATGAACACGAAAGGTTTATACAGGAAGGTTTTTTTTTCTCCCTTTCTCTCTATCATTTATTTTCCATCAATATCAGATTTTTAATATGCTGAATCATTATGTAATTCGCTTAGCATATAATTTTCTATCTATATCCTTATATGGACTACTCTTTATTATTACAAAAGAATCGTTAATGGTTTATTTAATTCAGAATTTTCTTTGCGCTTTATAAGTCGTTAATTTTACAAAGCGAGAAAATAATGTTTACTTTATTTCTTTCTTTAAAAAAAAAATACTTGTTCTATATAGACTTTTTCCTCTGTTATATTTTTTATTCATATTAATTTTTTTTTTTTAGGAAAATATACACAAAGGAAGAATTTTCATATTGCGACTCGTGTAAATAAATTATTTATAATAATAAATTTTTTATACATTTGTTTGTGTATAAAATGTCATAATTTATCACTAAATGGAACAATATATTTATATATATAGCACGTATATGGTTTGGAGTCAAGAGAGAGTTGAATCGAAAACTTTACGGTTATTTTAACTTTTTTTTTTCTTTTTTTGGTAAACGAGGATCAGACGTAACATTCAAAAGAACAAAAGTTTTATAACATTATAGAAAATTCCATTATGTTTCGAAAATTCCCAACTTGCATCTACTTTATTTGCTTTGAAAAATATATTATTCTTTGTTGTAGAAAAACATTTTTTTGTGAAAATATTTGAATTTTTGTTTTATTTTATTTGTTTCCATAATTATGATAAAATTTATGATTTATTAATTGAAATTAATAATTGAAAATTACCTTCAATATTAAATATACAGAACAAAATTTATTTAATTCAAATTATTGATCAAAAAAATACATTTTTTTAAAATAATTTAATTTAAATAATAAATTAATAATTTTCCGTTTTTAAAATTATTTGTTTTCTAAAATTGTTAATCATAAACGTTGTGGACTTTAGCATCATTCAAATAGTTTACTTGTCTATTAAAAAATAAATATTTACTTGAAGAAAATAATTTTTATTTGAATTAAATATTTTGTATCCGTATTTGGACCAATAATTTTTTGTATTTGAAACAATTACGATTTAATAGACTTAAATAATAATAATTAATCTTTGATACAAATAAAAAAAATACGAATAATTTTATTTACTTTTATTTTTTATAGATAAATAATAATACAAATAAATTAATAAAAAATAAATAAAATTCATATACCTAATAGTCGATTATTTGAATCAAGTAAATTTTGTTTTTTAGGATACAATTTTATATAATAATAATAATAATAATAATAATAAATAATAATATATATTTTATCGTTTTCGTATAGTGGAACAGATATAATATATAATTAATGAGCTAATATAATTTTTTTTTTGATATTGAAGATGATTGTGATAAATATTGATAAACTGTTTTCTTCCCTCCTTTTATACAGATACAATTTAGTATTTCTCGGAGTAACATACCTTATCCCTATGTTGGTAATGGCTGTATGTTACACTTTGATGGGCCGTAAATTGTGGGGCTCAAAATCGATAGGAGAGCATACGCAATATCAAAAAGAATCGATGAAGTCAAAAAGAAAGGTGAGAATTGAGCGCGCGAAAAATGAGTTTCTTTAAAAGCTTTTTCCATTGTAGCTATAAAATCATTGTAAACGACTTTCAAAGTATAATAATAATAATAATAATAGTTCTTTTTTATAGCCCTCTCTAAGTCATTCAAAATTTATATATGAAAAATATTGAACAATCGTATAATTTTTTTTTTAAGAAATAAGCTAAAAATTATTGATAATTTTTTAAATCAATTTTAATTTTAAAAATGTTTGATAATTTTTAAAATCAATTTTAATTTTAAAAATTATTAGTAGTATTAAATAGAATTGCTAAATGCTTTTTTATTAAAAAAAAATAAATAAATAAATAAAATTAAGAAAATATTCTTTTATACCATTCTAAATTATTTTTTTCAATTTTACACAGAAAATTAAAAGGTATTAAAATAAGCTGCAACGCTTATTTTAATGCCTTTTAATTTTCTGTAATAATAACTAATGTCATAGTAACTAACTGTTACCATAGTAACTAATGCCACAGTAACTAATGCCACAGTAACTAATGCCACAGTAACTAATGCCACAGTAACTAATGCCACAGTAACTAATGCCACAGTAACTAATGCCACAGTAACTAATGCCACAGTAACTAATGCCACAGTAACTAATGCCACAGTAACTAATGTCATCACAGAAAATTAAAAGGCATTAAAATAATAAGCGTTGCAGCTTATTTTAATGCCTTTTAATTTTCTGTGTAAGTAAAAGAATTTTTTTTTTTAAATTACTTTTATGAAATTAATAATAAGAATTTAATAATTTTTTTTTTATCTATATGGGCGATTCCACGTGAGATTTATAGTCGAGGTTTAAAATTCTAGTAAATATATTTTTTCCTTATTCTTTATGAAAAAAAAGAGACACCTATTTTTTTTTTTTTTTTTTTTATGGTCAAATTTTTGAGTTACGAATTTTCAAAATTTTGTTCAGTCAAAAGCAGACCTATTTTCAATTGAGAATAGCTCAAAAAACTATTGTATTTAGAAAAATTTTGTAAAGACATAAAAAATTTGTTTTTTCTTCGACTTTTTTAAAATGTTAACAAAAAAAAATCTAATTTTAAAAAAAAATACGTATCCTTTTTTTTCAATAAGAAATGAAGAAAAAATGTTTTTGGCCGAATTAAAAATTTGATTGTAAATTTGACGTGGAATCGCCCATTATATAAAAATTTAAATATAATTTGTTAATTATATAAATTATTTACCTTTCTGCGCAAAAACAATAACAGGAATTTATTTTATTTAAAAATGTCCTTTAAAAAAAAAGAAATCAAATTACAGTTGTCTTTTTTTTTTATTTTGATTACAGGTTGTTAAAATGTTTATCATTGTTGTGACGATATTTGCTGTATGCTGGCTACCCTATCATGGATTTTTTATTTTCGCATATCATCATCGTCGATTCGCAGAGACGAGCTACGCTCAACACGTTTTTTTAAGCTTTTACTGGCTCGCCATGTCTAATGCGATGGTGAATCCTATAATATATTATTGGATGAATACAAGGTCAGTTATTTATATTATTTTTCTTTTTTAAGAAACCATAAAAAAAATATTTATTTTTATATTTTATATATTTAACTCATATTGTTTTTTACTATTTATTATTATTATTATTAATTTATTTATTTATTCATTTGTTTATTTGTTTATTATTCCATGTAGATAGGTTTTTTCATTGATGTATTATTTTTTATTTATTTATCATATAAGCAAAAGTAATAAAAAAATTTTTAATTATTAATTTCATAAAATAAATTTTATATTCTTTTTATCTAAATTCATTATAAATTGTCGCTTATTTTTCTAGTTCGTAACACATAAATAATATGAATATAAAATTTTAAATGTTACTGTTCTAAAATATAATTTAATAACAAAGGTAATTTTTTTTTATTAAAATTATCTTTTGAAAAAAAAAAGAAAACATTCTCAAGAAATATAAATGAATCAAATTGTTCATCTCTTAAGATAATGAGGGGGAAAATTGAAGATTGTATTTTTTATATTTTTGTCTTTCTATTTTTTTTTCTTTTACTCTTTTTTGATTAAACTTTTACATATTTATGAAAAGAGAAAAACAAAATTTTGAAAAATAATATTATTGACTTGCAATTTACAGGCAATTATATAAATATATATGTATTATATAAATATTAAATATTATATATAAATATTATAAAAATTATATTTAATTGAATTGAAATATATATTTTTTTAAAAATGTATTTTACACATAAATTATTAAAATCACAATTTTCAAGTTTGTAAGACCACTCACGAGAAAGTTAAAATATCAACGGGCTTATACTTCGGTATTATCAAATTATTCTATTTGTACGCTAATTCTTACTAAATCTACCTTTCACTAAACCATATATGATATTGCAATATTTTAAATATTTTTAATGATAGAAAAGAATTTTTTTTTTATTTTTGATCATCACAAGATTTTTTTTTTACTTTATAAGGGGTTAAAAAAAAGATTCTTTATTTTTCAATAAAAATCGTTGATTAAAAAAAAGTTTCTTGTGTAAGAAAAATTAATAAAAAAAAAGAATGTAAAAATTCTTGAAATTTTCTTCTATACAGAGATTTTTGAATTAAAATAGAAAATTTACAAAACTTGTAAATTAAATGATTGTTTCAAATTTTGATGAAGGTGAAATTAAGAGCTACCCATATATATAATTATAACATTCCAAAACCAATTAGGAAAGTAATTTATACCTCAATCCTTTCATACACACACACACACACACACACACACACAAAATCTATACCTACATTTTATAGATTTTATGACTTTATGTGGAATTTTCAGTCAAATATTTGTTTCAAAAGTAAATAACAAATTTCACTATGGTTTGGGAAATAAGTTTAAATTAAATTCCAGTTTAATGATAATATTTATAATATATTATTATAGTAAATATTTATAATAATATTATAGTAATAATTTTTCCATATGTTACATTGAAAAATATTATTTTATTCAAATAATCGTTTATTTAATTTATTTTTATTTATTTTCAAATAAATAATTATTTGTATTAAATAATTATTATTTAATTAAATGGCAATTATTTTAATTAAATGCCATTTGTTTTAAATACAGAAATTAATAATTCAAATATAGAGTTTATTTTATTCAAATAAAAATCAAATTTTTTTTAAAATACTTTTTGAAATTTAAATCTTGGCATTTATTTTTGATATGAATTTTTATTCTAAAATTAAATTCCTATAATTAATTCCTTTTTAAAAAAAAAAAGAAAAAAAAATTGAAAGAAAGAATTAAATATTTGTTTGTTTTTTTTTTTAATAATCTGAAACTCGGCAATTATAGAATTAACTAAAAGGTTAAAGTTTAAAACAGTTTTTGAATAGAGTACATTCGACGTTGAAAGGTCTTAATCATTTAAAACGTTTAAATTGCTTTGTGGGAGGGTTAGGGGGAGGGGAAAAGAGTAGCAACTTTCAGCATTGAAGACATTCATTCTTGATTCATTTATTGTGAAAACATTTTAGACTTTAAACCATTGTTCATAAATGAAATTATTTATTCATTAATATTATTTTCTTTTATTATTATTATTATTATTATTATTTTTTTTTTATTGTTTTTTTTTATTATTTTTTTTTATTATATTGTAGCTGCGGGAAGTATGGCTTTCAATTTTATTAACAAAAAGTAATTAAATTGTGTGAAATTGAGAATGAGGTTTCAACAAAAAACAAATTTCATAACTAAATTACTTTTTCCAACCAGAAGATTTATCCCCAAGTTCTTATTGAAAAATAATAATAATAAAAAATGAATTTATTAGTCTAATTATTGTTTAAATTCTTTTCTTTTTAATAATTTTTTTTTCCTAATAAAGCTATTTTAATAAAATATTTGTTAGAGTATATTAAAAAAAATGATTTGTGAACATCAAAAGGCCTTGTCGAGAAATTCCAACCTGGTATTTTTTTTTTTTTTTTTTTTATTTTTCTTTTTGTAAAATCCTTTTATAATATTCTTAGTGTATATAAAAGAAAATGCTGTTCGTTGGAAAAATTCTAGGAATTTTTTCCCGCGCTTTTTAGAATCTTCCTCACACAACTTCTTGACATATATAATACTACGTGTTACGCAATATAAAATATAATTCAGTATATTATAGACTGGAAAGGGACAAAATAAATGTCGAATCGATTTTCATAAAATTGATAGGGGTTTAAACTGTTCTCTTTTTCACTCTTTTTATATATGCGAAGAAGGCCAAAACCATCAGTGTATTAAAATGATAAATTTTCAAAGCAAAAAAAAAATTAAAAGAATAATAGAAAACAAAACAAATGGAGGTTTTTATTTTAGTGACAACATTTTTTTTTAAATGTTTTAAAAAGCTGTTGAAAAAAAATTGAATCTTTTGAGAAGAAGTATTACTGTCTTCGAAAAGTATCTCTTTTGAAATTGCGTCTTACGTGTCTCTTCAATTTTCAAGAGACAATAAAAAAATTTCCATTCAGTAAAAAAAAATCTTCTCGCACTTGAATTGAAATTTCAATCAGCTTTAGTTGTTACAACTTTTGTGTGGTATATTATAATAAAGGAAAAACTAATTTTCCAAATTAGAATTCTTTTACAACTTTTTTTTTTTGTACAACTTTTGCAGGAAAAATTATTTTCAAAATTCAATTACAAAAATTTTATCTAGAACATTTTTTTCATTTTGCAAATTTTTGTTTTGTAACTATATTTTTAATTTAAAAAAATTCAGTTTTAAAACAATTTTATTTTAAATATAATTTTTTCTTATTTCTTATTTTAGTTTCTTTTAGCTAAAAAGAATAATAAAAAGGAAATATTTAAAAATTGAAAATTGTATTTTTTTAATATTTTTTTTTTAATTAATATATTAAATAAATTTTAGAAAGTTTGATTAATTTTTTCTAACGTAAAAAAATGTTACAGGTTTCGCCTATATTTCCAGCAAATAATTTGTAGATGTTGCTGCGTGATAGGTCGTTCAAACCTTCGAACTCGTCAAATGCACGAGTTGGCAGGTTTTCAACGCTCTGGCATTCTCCCATCGCATTCTGGTAAGTTAAATAATTAGTTATTTAATTTTTTAAATCATTCCATTTATAATAACCATGTTATTACTCTAATTTTTCATTACAAAAATAATTTTCAAATTTCATTGAAAAAAAAAAAAATTATTTCACGATAAAAAAAAAAACCAACAAAAATTAATTAATTAATTAAAATTAATTAATCAAGTATTTATTTGGTTATTTAATTTAATATTCCAAAATTAATTAACATTGACTAAAATATTGTATAATTTAAAAAATAATTATTTTTTCCAGTTAAATAAATTAATATCCAAAAAAAAAAGAAATTGAAAAAAAAGTTCTAGTCAAATTTTAAAGAGATTTTTTTTCAAATAAAAAAAAAAAATTCTCCTCTTTTTTTGAAAAAGGGACAAATTATTTTTATATAGAAAAATTTTTGCAAACAACATTGAGTGGTTTGAAAATTCGCTTCTCAAGTAACATAGTGAAGTTGAAACAAAGTATTTCTAGATTAAAATTTCACTTCATTTGGTTTAAATTTAATTCTGAAATAAAATTGCATTTTCTTTCGAGGGAAATTTTATACTGGTAAATTGAAATTGTGAAACGGTGACACGTGCAAAAAATACAAAGTCAATTTTTTTTTGTTTTCTAAATACGATTCTTTATTTGTGAACAATTTTTGTTATTTTAAAAGAATATGTTTAAAAGAAAAATTAAGTTGCTTTTTTTTTAAACGAACGAGAATTATTTTTTTTTTACAATAATTTTTTTTAAATCTAGCGAGTGAAATAAGATTTTTTCTTTTTATTTACCAGATTTTCCACTTTTTTTCCTCGTATAAAAATATATGAAGATACACAGAGTGTATAGAGAAAAATATTTCTTTTTACGGTTTATTAAGTTTCGAAAAAAATACCATATTGAAATTTATGATTACGAGCAGTGTTTCTCTCTGAAATGAATTTGTCACATTCCAGAAAATATATAAGTCATGTTTTTTTTTCTGAATTATCAGTAAAAAATTATTTTTTCACTATTCTGAATTTTAATATTTAGTAATACAAATATAATTTTTATTCAAGAATTTCCAAATTTCTTAATATGTTTTTTATTATATAAAAAATATAGAGTTTAATAAATTATATTTTTTCCACTACCATTAGTTTAAATTTAAAAACAAAATATAAAAAATAATTTTCTTTTTAAGCATAATAACATTTAAAGATGGTACATTTTTTCCCCCTAAAAAGTACTTTCCTTTAGGCAAATAAATAATTGGAAAAAAAAATATACAATAAAGAAAATCAAAGGAATAATTTTACGCATAAAATAAAAAGAGAAAAGAAAAATGAAAGTGATTTTTCAGAAATATTTAAAGTCAAATAAAATCTATTTTTCTTGTATAAAATATTACTGAAAGATTTTTACCATTTTACTGAAAATGATCAATAAAGAAACGGAATTCAATGTCTTTTGTTAAGAATGAAAGTTCTTTTCAAACATTTTTAATGAGAGAATTAGTTCCATAGGATTGAGATTACATTAATCGTAAATGGATTAAAAATTGTATAATGCTTTGTGAATTTCTTTTTTTTTCTCTAAAATCCTCTTTGACATTTAATAATCTTTCTGGATAATGAATAATTTTTAAAAAGATTAAAAATCCTTATTAGAGTGACACATTTTTTTTTTATAATTCACATACAAATACAAAAAATGAAACGTAAACTCAAATTAAAAAAAAAAAAAAAAAAGGAAGAGGATCATATATTTTTCTATATTATAGGTCATATGAGATCTGTATCTATTCGATGGCGACATAGTAATGCTGAAACTCACGTGCAAGCCTTAAAGACAAATTCTCGATCAATTTGTGAAAAAATTCATTCTAGAGACGATGTAGCCATCATTTAATCAAGAAAAAAAAACTGTTATATATATATATTGTTATAAATGTATTTACAGTGTAAGTACGATGTAATTTTTAAATATTACGAATGTGTAAATAATTATATATATATATTTAATTTCATTAATTTTGAAACTGTCCACTTGGATCAAAATATAAAAAGAATTTTTTTTTTATTTTTCTTGAAAAAAAAAATTAAATATATAAATATCTAATTGTCTTTATTTTCTTTTAATATTTAAAAAACAGTCAATTAAAGTCAAATGATAAATAAATCAATAAATAGAAATATATATAAAAAAAGAGATTAATATTGAATAAATAAAAGTGATATATTGCAGTATTATATAGAATATAATTTTGATTCAAGTATTCAGTCGCAAATTAAATGAAAATGCTGTTTTAAAATTTAATAAAAAAAAAATTAATGAGTGCATTACATTATTTCAACGAAGCTATAATGTGCGTCAAAAAAAGCGAGAGCAGTAATTATATTAATTGCTCAGTTAAAAATTTATTGTATACATATAAAAAAAAAATGGAAATAAGACATTGAATTTTTTTTATACTTGTAACTATCGTGATTTATAATAATAATAATAATAGTAATAATAATAATAATAATAATAATGGATATCGTAAATTTTTTACAATTTTCACAATAATGCTTTCTGTGAAATATATTTGATAAATTTCATCGTTTTCGACATTTGGTACCCACGCTTATCGCGTGTACTACTAAAATAATGTCGAACTGTTTATGCAAATAAAGTTGTTTGTGCTTTAAACAATTCATTTGTTTTAATAAATTTTTATTTTACAATTTTATTTTACAATTTTATTTTACAATTTTATTTTTAAATTTTATTTAAAAATTTTATTTAACAAAAATTAACTATAAAATAACAATGAAATAAATAACTATCTATTTTTTTCAGAAAAAACGTTATTTTTTGATTTCTTACAATTTTCTCATATACAATGTGTGTTCAAGGAAAAGAATAAATATTTATATAGTAGCAAAGAGATTTCTTCGCTAATAAGGCAATTTTATTTTTTTTTTGCATGGCTCAATGATTTTTAAAAACAAAATTGTATTTAGAAGCATAAATATATTTTTTCTAAATTTATCTACTATTAATCTTTTATGTGATAAAAATAAATTTTTAGCAGTCTTCTGATTTTCGTAGAAACGAAGTATTTTCAAAAGTAAGTATAAATTTATTCGATAATTTCTTTTGACTTCTCAAGGTTTATTTTTTGTTTAGAAAATAATATTAATCTTAATAATAAAAAAATTATCTATTATCAAATAAATATTTTCTTGAAACCAAATAATTTTTATATTTTAGTCAATTGAATTTTATTTGTTTCAAAAAACAGAAATTATATTTATTTAAAAAATAGTTCATTTGATTCAAATAAATATTATTTGATTCAAATAGAAAATTATTTCTTTCGAATAAAAAATATTTTTTCCAAATAAAATTTATTTTTTTTCAAATAAAAAATTATTTTATACAAATAAAAATTATTTAATATAAAATATTTATTTAATAATAGTTAAGTAAAGGATTATTTGAATCAAATATAATTTTTTTTTTTCAGTGTACTGTAAGTATCAATGAAACAAAAGTAAAAAAATTTAAAATATCAATATTCCATAAACATATGAATTTTTTTTCTCCACTAACATTGATATATACATTTATATTTCAGAATTATTGAAATGTGCAGTGGATTTTTCCATTTTAATACTTTCTATTTCAATATTTCCCACATGAAACGACTTGTATATTAAAATCAATATTGAAATGAAAAAAAAAAGTTTTGACTAATTTGCATCTATTAAAATTGTGTTTGGTTTACGAATTTTCTCTCTCGAAAAATAAAAACCAACCAACCTAGATTCAATTGTATATTTTTTTCGGTAATTTTGAAATATTACTGGTAAAAACTTTTGTAATAATTTTTTCCTCATAGAATGATTCTATTGAATTTTTAAAATATTGAAAAATTAATCCTTCAAATATTACACACATCTGCGATGGAAGTTTTAATAATTTAATTTTTTTTTTCTTGAATATTAATATCGGAAGTTTGAGTAAGATTCTGTTAAATTTTAAAATATCGAAAAATTGATTTAAGATTCAATTTCTGGGATGGATGTATTAATTTAGCTTTTTCTTTATAAAATAATTAAAAATTAATCGGATATTAATAATTAAAATATTTAATTTTTAATTAATCAATTTTTTTTTGGCGTAGTTATTTAAAAACTGAAATAATTTTTATATAATGAACATTTAATAAAGCACAAAGGATTTAATGTTAATTAATTTTTAAGCAAAACTTTAGTTGTCCGTGATGGGAAATAACTTTATGTAGGTACTTGGATACTCGGTCATAATATCGATTATAGCTTGAAAGCAATATCCAACAATTACTGACTTACCCTCAATATTTTCTTTATTGGTCATCAGAATTGATCCTTTGTCCCTATTTTATCCTATTTTAGAATAAATCAAAATAGATAAAATTAATGAAGGAATCAGAAAACAATATTCTGTTGTCTTTTATTTTTGTTATTTAATTATTAAAGTAAATAAAAATAAATATATTTATCAAATAAATATTTATTTGCATTAAATAATTAATATTTATAATTATAATAATTAAATAAATTACATTAAAAAAACCATTACATTCTCATGACAATAGTAAATAATTTTAATCCAAGAAATGCAATTTCATTCAATTTTTTTTTTTTTTTTTTTTTTGAAATACATAAATATTGGTTGCGAAAAATTTCAATTTCTTATTCTTTCCGCATAATATTGCTATTAGAAAAATCTGCTTTAGATTTAAGACACTTGCATGTAAAGTGAACATTCAAATGTAGTTTCTTTTAAATTTTTTTTATGTAAAATGTCCACTCTTGAAAATCTTGAAATTTCTATAAAACCATTAATTTGTATATGAGAAGATTATAAATCGCATTTAATTTTTTTAACATTGAAAAAATTTATTTAATTTTAATTAATTAATTTAATTTATTTAATCTAATTTAATCTATTTGGTTTAAATAATTGGTTATCAAATAAATATTTATTTGGAGCAAAAATAATTTTTATTTGAATCAAATAAACTTGAATCGATAATTTTTGTATTGAAAATATAAATACTATTTTTCAAATAATAATTATTAAATACAAGAACAATTATAATTGTAATAAAATATAAATAAAAATATTGTCGCATACTTAAAACTTATAATGTTGAAAAACATTATTCTTGACAAATTTTTAAGAAGTTAAATATTATTGTATTTTCTTATCATGCTGAGAACGTTTCTAAAAACGTCATGAATCAAAAGGCAAAAAGGATTTATGGCAGGATATACACTCTATACAGCTGCAATTATATGTTAGTATAATATATATGTGTGTATACAACTTACATCTCTTCCTGAGCTAAATTTCCACAGTTTGAGGTTTACCACAAAACATAGATATATCAAAAGATTTAGAATTTCAGGCTTTTTAGCCAATTCAACAATCTGTAAATTTGAGAGAAAAAAAATCAAAACCTTTCAACTAATTTATATAAATTAATTAATTTTTGCATAAATATAAAAAATCAAAACCTTGTAATAATATTACAAATAATAATTATTATTTGAAAAATTATTATGATATATTAAAAATAATAATATATTAAAATTATAGTATAATAATCTTTGTATTCATTCCGTCATTCATTCACATTTTCTTAGTACTTGAATTTTCTCATTATTATTAGATTATATATACATATATATCTTTACTTTGATAATTAGGGTTCTCGAAGGTTTCTACCTGAAATTTTTGTTGTCAAAACAGCTTTTGGTTGAGGGTTCATAAGATGGTCGATGACCTTTTAAATACTGTAATGAAAGGGGTCACTGAAACCGTATATGACCATGAAAATTTTTTTTTTTGACGACCCATTTTCCCGCAACCACCCCCTTGCACCTACTCACGTGGGTTGGAGTTTCAAAAAAAAAATCGAGTAGTGTGTCAATTCCAATGTTTTTTGGGTCGCTTAATCCGAAAAATACCACTAAAAACAAATCCTTAACCCCCTACAACCCCTGGGAGGGGGTTGGAATTTCATTGTTCACGAAAAGTCGAGTACGGTGTTTAATCCTATGTTTTTTGGGGCGCTGAAACCGAAAAACGCCACCAAAAACAAGTCATTTCCTCCCTTAACCCCCTACAACCCCCTGAGAAGGGGTTGGAATTTCAATTTTTACAAAAAGTCGAGTACAGTATCTATTCCTATGTTTTTTTGGTCGCTGAAATCAAAAAACACCAACAAAAACACATTCTTTACCCTTTTAACCCCCTACAACCCCTGGAGGGGGTTGGAATTTCATTTTTCACGAAAAGTCGAGTACGGTGTCTAATCTTATGTTTTTTGGGTCGCTGAAACCAAAAAACATCACCAACAATAAAGTTTTCTAGAAAGTTACCTATGATTACAGAAATACGCACCTACAAAGTCTTAAGGAAATTTATTTTTCTACACTTAGCGCCGTGAAAAATGATATTCCAACCCCCTCCCAGGGGTTCTAGCGGGTTAAGGGGGTAAAGAATTTGTTTTTGGTGGTGTTTTTTGATTTCAGCGCCCCAAGAAACGTAGGATTAGACACCGAACTTGACTTTTTGTGAAATTTAAAATTTTAACCCCCTCCCAGAGGGTTGTACGGGGTTAAGGAAAGAAAGGATTTGTTTTCAATGGTGTTTTTGGGATGAAGCGACCCAAAAAACATTGGAATAGACACCATACTCAATTTTTTTTTAATTTGAAACTCCAACCCCCGTGAGTAGGTGCAAGGGGTGGTTGCGGGAAAATGGGTCGTCAAAAAAATTGTTCATGGTCATATTCGGTTTCAGCGACCCCAAAAACATAGGAATATGGGGTTGTGTTTTTTGGGACCTGAATTTTTTTTTGTGCCTGTGTTATTATTGGAGCAATATATGATCGTAATCGTGAACTTCTGAGGAAAACGAATATGTCAAAATAAATTAAACAGTGTTTATATTTAAAAATTTTATAATTTTTTTGAAAAACTCATTAAGCGTCATAAAATAATATTGTCATTAAGCCCGAGAACGTCATACAGGCCCCCGCTGTAATTGACTTACTCGAGGTCTGAGCCCGGGACAGGCCGATAGAGTGAGGATATACCACTTCCCTTTTCAGGACCCAATCCGTGATCGCTCGATTCGTCCTAACAGTCTTGGGTTGAGGGAAATTTTTTTATTATTGTATATGCGATATAGATGATAACCGTTTAATCCCAGTGAGTGGAAGTGGTGTATTCATACTTAACTTACCAACACCTATCCCCGAGGACGCCACTCAGGCCTACCGTAATATCTGCCACTCGCGAGAACTTAATATAGGCCCAGATTGGTAGAGTGGGGGTATAACACTTCTCCTCAATGGAATGAAACGGCTACTGCTGATGTAAGATAAACATAGAGCAACCGACTACCGTTTCAACAACATTGTAGTAGTGTTGCT